CGGATCACAGGGCACGAGAGGCTTCTTAGAGGAGGAGCATCTGTTCCCTGAAAAAGAGAGGAGGCTGAAGGGGGCTGTGTGGAGAGCCTCAATCTGAGCTTGGACCCCATAAACTCAGGAGGAAAGGCAGAGGGACACCATGTGGCTGAGGAGGCCAGGACCATGGTGGGGCTTGGATGGGGCTCTGGCCTTGGTCAGCTGGGACACTGTCCCTCCTAGTAGCAGCTGAATGGGCAGTGGACAGGGGTGGGGAGAGTGGAGAGGATGGGGTGCTGGGCAGAGCCCTCAAGGCCTCCAGCAGTCGGGGCAGGCGAGGGGCCTGCAAGGGACAGGGAGCCAAGGACAGCCCAGGGCTGGCCTGACCATAAAGGGAGAAGTTGAGGAAAGACACAATGGACAGGTGCCCAAGAGGCAGCAGGCCCGCCTCTGCACTCCCAGCCCCAGCCCAGTCTGCTCCAAGACAGCCCGTGCCCCTTGCCTTGTGAATAGCTTCTGCCCCACCTGGAAGGCCTGGTCACCTGCGCTGCAGCCTGAGGAATGAGGGTGCTGATTCTCGGGCGCACACACCCCAGCCGGCCCCTGCTGCCGCTGCCTGCCTGGACTTTGATCTCTGGGCCCATGCACACTGACCGCCCTTCCTCCCCAGCAGCTCTCCCACCTGATGACCTGGGCCCCAGTGGTTTCAATGCCCCCTTGCTGACCAGCCCACTGGGCTCCTTCGAAGAAACCCTGAGTGCCCCTTAGGAGTCATGTAACCAACCTCAGGGGCCCCCAGCCCATCCAGCGTGGCCCCCAGGGAAGGCCAGGCCAGGGGCGGCGGGAGAGGTGCCAGCCCGCCCTGCCGCCCGCAGGCACCATATCCACTACGTGATCCCATACGACGGGGACCAGTCGGTGGTGGACGCCTCCGAGAACTACTTTGTGACGGACAATGTGACCAAGCAGGAGATCGACCTCATGCTGGGGCTGCTGCTGGGCTTCTGCATCAGCTGGTTCCTGGTGTGGATGGACGGAGTGCTACACTGTGCTGTGCGCGCCTGGAGGGCCGGCCGGCGGTACGGTGAGTGCCTCGCACCGCTGTGGGGAGGCACGGCCCTGGCCTGACCCGCAGCCTCCTCACCACGCCCTGTTCCCCTGCAGATGGCTCATGGACCTGGCTGCCCAAGCTGTGCAGCCTGCGGGAGCTGGGCCGGCGGCCACACAGGCCCTTCGAGGAGGCCACTGGGAACATGGTGCACGTGAAGCAGAAACTCTACCACAATGGCCACCCCAGCCCGCGGCACCTGTGAGCCGCACACAGGACTCCCCGGGGCCGCCGTGCCGCCGGCCCCCGTACAGAAGTTAAAGGGA